GACAAGGTTTGCCTGACCCCACCGGGCGGGCCAATCCAACATACCATCACGGCTCATACAAGCTTTTCCAACGTTTACCTAACACGTGACCGGAAGAGAATCATCTCCGCGTCGTATGATGGAACCTTGAAAATTTTTGATGCACGTTTTGGTCACATGATCAGAAGTACAGAAGGCGTGGAGGAAATGGCGAAACATTTCCGTGTTGACGTCACAGAGGAATACGGCGTCACTTCTGGTAGTGGTGTGATTCAAGTTTGGAAAATCAATACCGGACAAATGCTCCACCAGTTTCGCTCTTCTGTGAATATTTCTCCCATCGGGCTTATCAATGATGACGTAGTAGCCATTTTGGAGGGAAGGCTGGAGGTGAATAACTTTCGTACGGGAGAACAAGTACGGTCGTTTAATGATCCAAGGTTAGTTTTCATACAGACCATGTCCGGGTTTTGCGCACATAGAAAACTAACAGTAATGACCCAAAGTTCCGTTGAAACGCGTGCACCAGGCGTCGGATTGTTCACCCGCAAAAATCGAAATACTTGCTTTTCGCCTCGATCATTACTTCCATTGTGCGGCTTCGAATAAACCTGGAAACTGCGCCCATGTAGACTCCTTGGTTGGCAGTATAAACCCCTCGTAGGCTCGCAACAGTTTGTTAACAAGTTATTTTGCTTATTTACCAATTCAAAATATATGGGGGCTTTGAAAGAAGATTTGAATGCTGAATTTGCAACATTGATCTTCGTTTACACGATTGTGATCAGAAAACAGCTCGTGCACAATGAGTTATAACCTGTTCCACACACCTTACACTTAGTAAGGTCTGTAACACATGGCTAAATGAGTTATTGCGCACTTCATGATATTTTCTTTATTTGTTTCACCAAAGGTTGGAATTGCGTGAACACTGGCATAAATGTCGCATTGCCTGTCAACCGAGCGGGGATCTGGTAGCGTATTCAAGAGACAAAGAGAACACAGTGAACATTTTGAACTACAAGACCTGCCAGATACTTCATCTAGTGACAGTGAACGACCTCAATTCCGTTGATGCCTTGACGGTCTCCCCAAATGGTCTGGTCTATGTAGCTGAGTATGATGGCGGGCCCATTGTATCGTTTGAGTTGACCACTGGTCTGAAGATACGTCAGATCGCAGGCGGCCAAAGTGTCGCAATGACGGCCACATTGGAGACCACCCCAGATGCAAAGTATATGTTAAAAGTTAAATATTTTAAAGTTAAATCCAGTACTGGAAAATGTCCAGCAGCACCGCTGTCAGGAAATGTTTAAAAAAATATCTTCGCAGGAAATTTTATCAACCTTGCAAAACATTTTTGTCATCTTGCATACTAGAATGTCATATAACTTACTTATTGCTGATGTCGAGATTATCTTGTGCCAAATTTATCAAATGTGTGGCTCCATATGTTCTCTGAAATGTACATATGCAGGAAATTTTTATTTGACTTTCACAGTAAATTTTTATTTTCGGATTTTGCTGCCAGGAAAAGAAATATATTTTCTATAGCCTGCGAACAGGCCCTCCTGGGTTACGGGCGGCGCTTTCTCCCAGTGAGCCTGTTCGTAGGCTATATTTTCTAGGTCTAGTTTAATCGCTCCACATATAACGAAACGAACATCTTTCTCATTTCTAGGTACTTGGCGATTAATATGTACCAACACGTTGCAGTGTGGGACTTGGTCAAAGATGAAGAGGTGTACCACATCTATCATCCAAGCCCTCTCAATACTATATCCTTGGGCTCATCTGGTCGCCTCCTTGTCACAGCTGGCTTCGACTACTTGCTTCGGCTTTACGACCTACGCCGAGTAGCCAACGAAGATGAGGGTTCGGCTCAAGGGAGGCGAACTATCGATTCCTTTATCACACCCAGTCCTTTCATGGAGAAACCGAATCCGCGGTATACGGTGTTGCAGAGTTTCTGGGATTACGTTACTGTGTGGGATAATGAGACGGGAACCAAGGTAGGATGTTGAAGTAGTATAATTTTTGTTTACGCTGTTTTCCCTGGGGCCGGTTGTTCAAAGCTGCATTAGCGCTAACCCTGGGTTAAAATTTAACCTGCTGTTTTAGTTTGTGTATTTCTGCACGTCTGTTTATTTCAAAACTTCAGAGGACACAACTCCTACTGATCCAGACAATATTTCTAAAGAAATATTTCCAAATTTATAAACAAGCTGTCAGGAAGTTTGCTTTGAATTTTAGGTTAACCTGGGGTTAAGCTAATGGACCTTTGAACAACCGGCACCTAGAGGTCAGTATGAGCCATCGCTTATACACCCAGTATATATTATATTACCACACAAAAAAAGCAGAGGTAGTAGCTACTAACGAAGGGCCTTCGCTCGAAACGTCGAGTTTCTTAGTTTTTAAGGTAGTAATATAACCACTCAGCACAGCATTGGACATCTTTCTATCTTGTGTTAAGGTGAAAGAAATCAGCGGGAATATTGAACAGACTTTAATGCTGGACGACCGCCGTGCCTTGATATGTACAGGAAAGCAACTCAAGATCCTCGACCTGCCCAGTGCTATCGTAACCCGCGATATCCACGGTGTGTGTAGCTATGACAACGGCAAAGGAAAACGCGTTTTAAGTCCAGGTTTACTTAATAAAGAGCAGGTACTGGCTGTGTCGGGTGGGAGAAGACATCTAAAGATCATGAGTCTAACAACAGGAGAATTGGTCAAAACACTCCAGGATGATTCGGTCGGAGGCCAGATTGAACATTTGCTGGTCAGTCGGAATGGGTCAACTGCAGTCGCGTTTAAAGATTGTGGTGAAGCCGTGGTGTGGGATATCTCCACGCATGCTTGCAAGGTATGTACGACTGTGGACATCAATTTCTTTAATCCACGATGTATAGAACTAGAAACTGTCAACCTGTGGTAGTGGACTAGTGGGACATAAAGTAGGATTCTCATAGTATAACAATTTGTATTCATCGAATGGAGAAAGCAAGATGCATCAATGCGCCTATGATGGCAACGAGCATAGCAGAGCACATAGCACATTCTGTCTAAGAGTATTAATGGTGATTGCATGGTTCGTCTTAGCTCTGGGGCCGGTTGTTCAAAAGTGGGTTAGCGCTAACCCTGGGTTAAAATTTAACCTGCTGTTTTAGTTTGTGTATTTCTGCACGTCTGTTTATTTCAAACCCCTATCGATCCAGACAAGATCTCTGAAGAAATATTTCCAAATTTATAGACAAGCTATCACGAGGTTTGCCTCAGTTGAATTTTAGGTTAACCTAGGGTTAAGCTAACCCAACTTTGAACAACTGGCCCCTGGATAACTCTGCAAGAGTAGAAAACTCATGCATTGAATGTCATTTAAAACTATGAAACATTAATGATGTTTATTATCTGTGCAGGTTATACATGGTGTTCGCAGGAAGGGTGGCTTTATTAACGGACAGTTCTCCGCCATTTCTGACGACGGCCAACACTTGGTGAACATCGACGACACCGGCGCGCGGGAAGTAGCACGAGTTTACGACTTGAACGAAGCCCGTCTAAAATATTCCCTACCTACGACTGAGCGGGTGGTCAGTTGTGTTTCCATAGCAACTGCCACGCGGCGAGTTCTTACCGGCTCATCGAAACATTGCCTTAGTATTTGGGACTTGGATACCGGGCTCATAGTGAGTCAATTCTCCGGGTTCGAGTACCCGATACACTGCTTTACTTTGGCACGTGATTGCTCAAGAGTGCTGACGGCATCTTTCGTGACTGGTGAGCAGAGCATGCGCGTTTATGACCTCGTAAATGGACGGTTTCTAGCAGCGTTCACCCCGGAACAGTCGTGGAGAAGTGCATTTCATACCGACAATAACACAGTTCTCTCTATGCCCGGTTTCACAGGAATCGTAAAGTTTCGCCTTCTTTCGTCGGGAAGTCGGGAACCAGAAGTCACCGAACGCGGTCAGGAGATAGACTGGGGCGAGGTGAACGAGATAATGAATGACGCCACTAGTTACCAAGACGATGGTGATGACGACAACCAAGAATAATTTACGGTCACTTTAAAACTTTAGAGGCGGAACAAATTCCATATGCATACAAAACTATTAGAATTATTTCAAACTGAAATATATATTTAGTCTAAATGTGTGAATATATTATTAAATTTATTATTGCAGAAATCTAATTGTACTGTGTGAAAGTCGGCATTCAGATTATTAAATATTATTGTATGGCTTTTCAAAATTCTCTATTCTGATTGGTTGACAAGCGGTCCGTAAAAAAATCCTACATCTGGACCGGTGTCCCGGATGTAGTTTGTCTGGCGGGAAATTTTTGCTTTCCAAAAAGAAAAAAAATTTGCTTTTTAGTCCAATTGTGTGCCATTAAAATTTACAGATAAAAATTTCAAACAACCAAATTGTTTTTGATTGAACATGCATGCCTACCGTATATTGTTACCCAGTGAAACTGACGATAGCCGATTTAATTCGCGCGAAAAGCATATGCTCACTGACAGACTCAGTTCAGCCATATAATAAACCGATTATTGACCTCGCTTGTTTGGTCTGTACTGTGAAATATCAGACCTCTGTTTCCTGCATAATAAAAAACCTCTGTCTGATATTTCACAGTACAGACCTCACGCTCGATCAATAAGCCGTTATTATTTAAGTTGACTAGATGTATATTTTGTATTAAAATCCAAAATAAAAGTTAAAAAAAGAAAAATCAATACTTCCAATAGCATTGTTAAACCAACACCGATTCTTTCATAAAAACTGTATTTCCCTTTTTTAACGCAAACATGTGAACAACGCGTGACAAGCTAATAAACTTTTCACAATTCACATAAATATTTGGTCTTACACGACAGCAAAACCTTTAATCATTTCATGTTTTCTTACTTGACATGTAATACATTAAATACACATCATTTGTACTAATATTGACAAAAATAACGTATATTAAATATTTTGCTTAAATAAACTAAAATCAGTTTAATAAATTTAGCTTGTCATTAAATTGTCAATCCTCTCGCGAAGAGAGCGAAGCCATCGACGCAAGCTTGCGCGAATTATCGTTCTAAACTTCGTCGAACAAATGAAATAAACCAACGGATCTGCACAAGAATTCCAGAAACAGAAAGACACTGCCCATGTTAGGAACCGGGACTTCTCCGCGAGCGGCCGCGCGCTTTCTTCAACCAAAATGCCATATGCCAAAAGCGGGACGAAACTTGCAATTAGTAGAACTACAACTCGTGCGCTGTTTGCCGCAGATTTGAGACTCATTTTGAGCTCTTCGGCGTTAGTTCTACATCCAATTGTAATCTTCTTGATCTGTTCTCTAGCTGAACGGTAGATTTTGCTGTAAAGAACAACAGGCAGAAATAGAATCAACACAGCCATGCATTCGAGGACCAAGCGTAGATCATTTCGTCCCAGATACGACGCAGCAAAAAGTGCGAGCGTAAATACTGTAGTTATCCCCACGGCAAAAAAGACCAGTAAACGTACTTTGAGAATAACTATTAAAGTATTGTATCGTAGAGGGTATAAAATAGCCAGAAATCTATCCGCTGTGATAGCTAAACAGTTGAGAACTGACCATGTCGAACAAAACGCGGCCAAAGTGCGGTACACTCGAATCTCGGTCAGTGTTTGATACTCCTGTCTGAACAGATAAGTGTGGTATGGTAGGAATATGGTAGATGATAAAAAATCGTTTACCATCAGGCTACAAAGAATTCTATTCGCCGGAACTTTTAGTAACAAACCCGAGTGTGTTACTAGAATCAACAAGGCCATACTGTTTAGCGAGATTCCGCTGAGCAACTGTACCGTGCTGATGACGGTGAGGATTGTTCTTTCTGCCATACTGAAATTTGGCGCAAATTCGCTTTCCAATGAACATGATGCGTTGTGTTTTAAATCAGTCTGATTTTCAAATAACGATTGGTTTTCTTTGAAGAGTTGTGAAGACATATTTACTGACCCACGCACTCGGGAAACACCAGACACTCCCGTGGATAAATATACAGCAAACGAAAGCAGACACTAATGAAATATGTTGAAATCTCTATAAGATTATATATTAAGACAAATTCAATTCCATCAAATCTAGCCTATGAAAGAGCGACTCTAACAAGTCTGCTTAAATATACATTTAATTACAATACGAGTGTAATAAAATTCACATTTTTGGCAGACTCAAGGGTAAATAGTGCACGGCTTAAAGTAAACAGAAAACTGAGTGAACTGCTGACAGGGAATACAGCTGCATGTTGTATTAATATCAGACAGCTTTATATCATTTGATTGCGAGTAGGATTATAGTTATTGAGGCCTATTTCCACTCAAGAAATATTTCCACGGAAAAATTTTCCGAAAATGTCATTGTTAAAAGTTGAAAATTTTCAACTTTCAAAATTTTTTCCGACGTAAAATTTGTGTCGGCCAATCATATTTTACAAATTAATTTTTTTTCTGCGGAAAATTTTTCCTGAGTGGAAATGGACCTTTACACGTCGCCACTCTTCTCTCCTGCCAGTCATAGATATCTTATATACACTAGATAGCGCATCTCTTTTAGTAAAATTGAAGCCAAGAATATTCCAGCGGTTACCCCCATTTGAATAGATGGCGGCCATGTTGGTGTTTCCCACTCGCTAATAAACGCTTAAAAAACAACAATAACTTTCATCATTTGAATAGTTTGAAAATGTATTTGGAATAGGTTTAACTTAATGTTTAAGTTCCCTGTTTAAGAAATAGAAAACATACGAGTCTTCTCATTTCATGGGAATATCCTGAGCCGGTCTGCAATCATGGCTTCAATTTTTGAATTGCAGAATAATTAGATGCACTATCTAGTGTATATAAGATATCTATGGCCAGTACACAGAGGTTTTCGCGAGTATTATGGTCCATCTCTGCATGAAGTGAAAGATTTATATAACTTCATGAATGATTCTACAATCATGGAAATAATATCCGCGTAGACGTTTTTAAAACGTATCTTGTCTAATTACTATTTTGTAAAGCCATCTTATTTTTAGTTAAGACAAATGTCCATGATCGCTAGAAATAGTAACCCCCCCCCTCCCCCTAGTACAATGTTGGTTCAAACGGTGATTATTGGACCACAAGCCAACATTGTAAAGGGGGAGGTGGGAAATTTTTCAATAGTCTACGAATTAATTTCCATGATTGTAGTTTCCAGGCAGGAAGGACAACGAGAGCCGCATTTAATTACAAAAGTAATTATTGTTTTGAAAACCACGCATCGCAACCTGACAATATTAATCAAAATTAAGCAAAACCCGAAATTGACTCATTAGACAGATCGCGGTCAATGCATTTCAAACTTGTTGACACCAGCACTGAGCTCGACATGGTACTGGAGTAACTACCAAAATGTCATTTGGCTATAGGCAATTCCAGCTTTTAATTTATGCGCGCAGGGGATGACGGTTAGTAAGGTATCATTATCATATTGCTGATTATACAAAAAAATTCAATAAAACCTGCCGAAACAACCGATATATTTCAATATTTACAAGTATAAGCTATCACTTAGTGTTTACACAGTCGCCATTTTTATTTTTTCAGCATAATCAGAAATATGATACCTTACTCCCATCTCTCCCTGCACGCAGAAATTAAAAGCTGGAATTGCCAATTGGCAGCCCTTCCTGTTGTTAGTTAATAAGCGGTGAAGGTGTATTACTGTGGAAAATGCTGCATTGCACCATCGCAGTCTGTTCTTCAGATTGACTGTACAATGTACATCCTTATCTTTAAAATTAGAATTTGTATTAGCGCATGAGTAAGGAATATTTTCTGTAATAATTCCTAATACATTTTTAAAATTTGTTTCAGTAAGTTGGTATGTGCAGTCAACCTGAGCAAGAGACTGGGCTGTCTGTTCAGTGTTATTAGAGAACTTTTATTGAAGTTTTATGTTTTCGTAGTGTAAATGTTTAGTTGTAATTTATGTGCTCGGGGTTTGCCTTGTTGGGACTTCGAATCCGTTCGCCGATCCCATATCTAACTCGCCTTTGTTTGTTCATAATGTCTTTTGTTTCGTTCTCACATAGCACTGTAAGTTTCCTAGCGAGTTTGATTAAAGCTTCTTACTTAATACCTCGTTTTTGTGTATACTAGATTAGTTAAATCCAATCCTCCCAACCACGGAAACGAGGCTCTATAACCAAAGTGACGTACTTTCCTATAGTGTGAACCAGGCTTTAAGGCCCATTTCCACTCAAGAAAAATTTCCACGGACAGAAAATCTTCCGAAAATATCATTGTTAAAAGTTGAAAATTTTCAACTTCAAAATTTTTTCCCACGGAAAATTTGTGTCGGCCAATCACATATTACTAATCACATTTTACACATCCTAAATGGGCCTTTAGGATGAGTTCTCATGGCCAAAGTTGATGAGCGGGTCCACTCCACATCACACACTCCTATCGACGGACAAAACACTTAAAGCACTTGACATTTCCACAACACTGGCAAGTTGTTCACTTTGTTGAAAACTTGACGCACGGCTTCGCGGATGATACGGGGAAGACTCACGACCAACCCACAGCAATCGTAGTGTCTTGCAAATAATCGCACGCAAGTTCGCCGAGAACGCGCAATACAAGAGAGGATTGATTGAACAATTTAAGAACACGAGAGAGAAAAGCCATGCTGATCTTTCATTGAAAAATGAAATGGGAGCTTGACGCCTTTCATTGAAAATTGAATTGATACAAACCGGTAGAAATGTCACAGCAAAGAAGAACACTACACTTCCACTAGTTTTGGCTGATTTTAGCGTCCGTCTGAACACAACAGAGCCAACACTTCGCGCGGCCTGACTTTGATCGTGGATCGTTTTAATTTGACGACAAGCTGCTCGGAATATTACTCCATACAGAACTAACATCGTCAAAACAGCAGTGCAATTAACAAAAGAAAGAAAATAGCGTATTCCTTTCATCTTGTACCAAACTACTAAATAAAACATGAATGAGTAGACGAATGAAACGAACCAATTTGCAATGAGCACAAGACGCGTCCTTGGCAGGGTCACAAGTGGGTTGTACCGAAGAGGCCAGATTATGGCAACAAATCTATCCGCAGTTAACAAGACAATCCCAAACATTTCCACAGTCATCGCGAATAATAACAAAGCTTGATGCACCAGAGTTTCTCGTAAACGAAGTATTTCATAGAGATGATACGGCAGCACAATACTGCAAGCGAAAAAATCTGAAATTGTCAAACTGAGGAGAACAACATTTGCGGGAATTTCGAGCAGCCGGTGATTGAAAAACAACACGAATATAACAAAACCGTTCAACAGTGATCCGGCTATAATCTCCAGCACACTAAATATCATAAATCCTGTTTCGTAGCTTATCCGACCATATTGGCTTGCGTTCTGTAACGATTCAGTCCCGTTCGTTGACATCCGGATCAGTTTCGGACGAAAATTTGAAATAAACAAACCTTCGATATTTTTAATCTCTGAAGTCTCTGAAGCAATGTGGGTTTATGAATATAAATGATAGATAACTGATACATGTTTAGCCACCTTCATCAATATTAATTGAAATTTTGTCTTGAAGTATTATTGTTTTCAAAACAAAACAGAAAAAAATTCCCAAATTTGGAATAGCTGATTATGTGAAACTTTAAAACTATTGACAATCTAGGAAACAAATAATATGAAAATTTTCATACCTCAATTTTTTTCGAAAGCAAAAAGTTTCCCCAACATGCAACTAATTCTAAAAAAATGTTCTGCAGCTGGCATTAATTATTATCTCGCAAATATTGTAACAGTTTCGTAATCTTCAACTTTCATTCTGAATTTGTGTATGGATGTAGCATAGTCATTGAATTCCTTGTCTGCAGTCTACAAAGCGGTTCCTGCGCGAGTTGTGACATTTCCAAAGCGGCGAAGAAAAATTCGACGATATTCAATGCCAATGGTCCCATTATTTGGACGACTATACGCAACGGTGTTGTAATTGAGCAATTTACTGAGCAGTAATTTTGTAAGTTTTAGTAAAGTTGGCCATCTTTGAAAAGCATGGCTAGGAAACAATATTTCTGCAATGGCATTGTCAACGAGGTAAGAGGTAAAAATTCGGAGAAATATCAAAATTTTCAAATGTTTCCCCACTATATTCACAAATCGAAATATCCGATTTCCTATAACGGTCCATTTGTATCGATCATATCAGACTGTGTAGGGACACCATGCGTTCGATGACACACAACTATATATATACGCCTCCAATATCCAAGAATTACAAGTCGTAATTTCTCAGAAAACATACAATACAGCAGCGGATTTATGTTGCAATTTAGAAAAGCCAAACACATCAGCCATATTATATAGTCATTGTAAGTGGATATAGGAACTGACCGATACTCGTTACAGGCCGCCAACACGAACACTGGTAAATAGCTTACAACAAAAAAGAACACAATGCTTCCACTTGCTTTAGCAGAACTTAATGTTCTTTTAAACACCGCTACACCAGCTCCTCTTTCGTCACCGTCTTGTCTTTTAATCTGTCTTATTTGTCGAAAAGCTGCGCGAAATATTACACCGTAAAAGACAAGTATTGTCAAAACTGCGCAAAACTCTACAAGCAACAAAAAGTAGCGCATTCCTTTGATTTGGTAATACAAAGCAATGTAGAATATGGCGGCGTAGAGTATCGACAAGAGCCAGTAAGTAGCGAGTACGTATCGAGTTCGTCTTATAGTTACCAAAACATTGTACCGTAAGGGATAAACGATAGCAAGGAATCGATCCGCAGTTAGAACTACCGTTCCAATCATGCTCACTGTCAATGAGAAAAGCAGTAACGTAAGATGCATTTGATTCTCGTATACATGAAGTACTAAGTACACATGGTACGGTAACACTACAGCACAGGCGAAAAAATCTGAAATTGCCAAGCTGAGTAAAATGACATTAGCTGGTATTTCACGAAGACGGTGATTAACAAGCAACAATGATATTACAAATCCATTGAAGAGTGAGCCAGTTATGATCTGAAGTAGACTTAGAACCAGGAATGTTGTCGCGTTGTTTATCTTGTAATTTTGAGTAGACTCGGTGAGATTTGGTGGCCCAGCGCTTGTATTCATTGCTGATTTCTTCGATGAGAAATATAAACTGCACGTTAATCCATCTGTTTGTCGAGGTTTTAATATATTAAGATAGTGCCAAGATAGAGGTTTAGATCATTCGATACTGCACGTGGCTAGTTATGCAAATATTCGTGGGAGATAATTTCCAAAATTAGAAATGTTTACTAGAAGTCCACAAAGAGGATCTGCGAATCACATTCAACTCTGATCAGTGTCACTGTACATGTGCTTCCAAGTGAAGAAACTTTCTTTCTTTCATTCGCAACCATCTGCAGTAGTGTAGCTCTAGGTATGCAAATCAAGGACTAGAATAAATTTACCGAAATCCCATAAGCACTTTACAATTTACACACGCACTCCATTACATTAAAGTTTTGATATACAGGTGTCAATTTGGTCTCAACGGTGAAGTTTCGTGCCATCAAATATGGAAAGCGATGTGTATTTACCAGATCGTTGACATAGACAGATAGTAGGCAGTTAGGTAAAATGCCAAATAGTGATAAGCGAAACAGAATTTAATACTCAGAATAAATTTAGCATTTAAACAATGTCCAAACTCCCTAGAGCACCTCGATACAGAAATTTCTTTTACAGGTATGTTTTGCTGCACCCCAGTTCAAGAACTTTGTTCATTCGCCATGTGAAACAACCAAAGGATGACTATTTACATCGAAATGTTAAACACACCCACATGATTTAAAATGCTTATATCAAAGAAGCAAAATATTTATAGAAATTTAATTATATTTTCCCTTTCTCGGCTTTTCTCGCGGTAGGTATTCCATATGGTTTCTATTAAACTGAATAAAAATGGTAAAATTTAGGGCAAAAGTCGATAGGCATAGACGCAACATAATGCTCTTGATGACAGGGACTCTGTTTGATTCTATTTGCGTATTTTATTTGTCTTGGCATGTTTGGCTTATTTTGATCTCTCCAAGATTGGTCGTATAATCCAGAGGTTGAGTTCAACTAATCGTAAAAGAAGAACAGTTTAGAACTGACACAGCTATCCTGCAGTATAAATAGCGTTGAGTTTTAGTTTAGTATAAGACTTGTCCCTTTGCAATGTAATATATGTCATCTAGCATTTTTAAACCTATAATAATTCATCTCCTATTTGTTTACGAACACTCTAATACTGTAATTACTATTTCGATCTAATAAATTAAACCCCAACACTTATAAATAGAACGTTTTTCAATAGCGCAGATTAAGGTTGTTATTTATAGCACAAACTTCGGACAAACAAAATGAAATTGACTTTCAAAGTGAATGCGAATGAACTAAATAGTCTATTGTTAAGCCCGCAAGAATTGTGGGAATATTCGGACAAACTATATCGTGTGACGTCAATTGGAATACATGCTATTGTCTGAAAGATAAGTAGACGCACGAAAACGCATGGTGCATTATATCATTACGATTTGTTATTGGAGTGTCTCGTTCGCCTGCAGGGACGTCTCGACGCCATGGTCCTTGAGTTCCAGGCTCGTACTCAGGCGCCTTCGAGGAAGATGCGTGAGGTCGATCGCAAATGGAAAACACGATGACTTTGATTTCACGGGTTGTGTATTATGTGACGTGAAGTCAGTCACGTCAGAACATTCTTAATTTAAGACATTACGTCAGTACGCTGAGTCATGCTTTTGATATATTTATCGTTTACGTAGTATCTAAAAATAGTATATATGTAGTGTTCTATTAATATCTTGCGGATAGTATATAAGCAGCGAAAGCTTAAGTTAGAAAGAATTAAGATAAGAGAAAAAGGATTAGAAAAAAGAAGATTAAAGTATAGTACTAGATAAAGGTGTGCGTGGATATTGTTGAAGAAGGAGGATATTCCAAATACGAGAAAGCCTCCTTGGTCAGCGCGTCTCGCTGTGTCTGGTCAAGGCCGGGCAAGGAACGTAAAGATGATAAAGTTGCAAACATACATTTTTGTTCGTTCTCGCCCGTGAACGTAACAATTATAGCTGTTATCGCTGCACTTGCGATAGATTTGCTCCAAATCCTTCTTTGATGAACATAGATAACCATGCAAATAGGTGAATTAATAAATTGGTAAGATAAATTGAAATTTAATATCTAACTTTTTTATCTACCATTTACAAACTTTTCCTACGATTTAGACCTGCTAACTGGTCTCCAAATGTTACTGGATGCCGTAACCTAGTGTTTTAAATTTCTTATACGTCTGCATCAATGTTAATCTCGCGAAGAAAAGGCGACCCCCTTGCTGTCTGTCACAGCAGAAATCCCTTCTGAAATCCTTTTTAAAACAAATCCTAGTTGCCAATAGTACAATAACATCCGACGCAAAAGCAACGAAGTGTAATCGGCAAACGCGCGAAACAGGACTAAAATCTCTTCATAAACAAATACGATGTAACATACTAACTTGACATCTTCGATGCCATACCTCGAAAATCATCAATCTTCCTTTAATCTAGTCGACTTCGTGTCAGGTACGTCATCACTGTCACCTTTCTCATCCTCATTTACCTCGCGTTGTTCGCCATTACCCTCGTGTTCCAGCTCATCCTCAGGTGGGGCTTCAAGACAGCACAACATGACGATTAGGAAAGCGAAAACCAAAAAGGGAAGTCCAATGATTAGGATGGCCATTAATGGGCTTGCTGACCAGATATCCTGCAGAAATGTTAGAGTTAAATGAATTATTCATAAAGATAAAAACATTATTTAATCTTTGGTGAAACTTGATTGAAGGTTTCAATTGCGGTGCACAAACGAAGTTAGGCATCGCTTTTTATACGTTGCGTGAGTTAGTTAAAGTGGTGTGGATATACACTCAGAGTAACATCACAAGCATCATATTCACCTGAGTACATTACACCAACACAGAAAAAATCATGATTACTAGATTACATTGATATCGAAGAAACTAGATTCTGTTCCGAAATATCACATACTCGAACCGGCCTGACCGCGTAGCTCAGTTGGCAGAGCATTGGGCTGGAGTAATACGGGCAACAAAATTGCTGCAACTTGCAACAAAATCTGATTTCTGCGCATGTTAATTGAAAATGTTTACACATACATTACAAATCACGAGGCAACATGTGTCAACATTTCTACTCAATTTTTTCTGTGTTGGTGTTGTGTGAATATGATGTTTGTGATGTTACTCTGAGTGTATATCCAAACCGGGCGAGCTTTGAAATCAGATTTTGTTGCAAGTCGCAGCAATTTTGTTGCTCGTATTACTCCAGCTTTAGTTTGTTTGTTCGGAATCAGTGTTAAACACCGACTGAGTCAGTTCCCTCGAACAAGTTTATATCCAAGCTTCCGTGATCACAGTAAGAATTTTGCATAGGTAAATTCTAAGTTTTGAAGAATGTGTAACGGAAATGTTTGAACTGACTCAGTATTATCAAGGGTCTTATCATTTCCCTCAAAAATTTCTTACAAATCGTTCAAAACTACTTAATTTACCGATGCAAAAATTCCTACTGTGATCACAGAAACTTTGATAGTGTAAACCAGCCTTTATAAAATGCAATTAACTATTTCACTTTACCTTAACCGAGCTTCGTACATCCCACCATATCTAGGACGAAACAAATATGTTGCTCTTAGTTCCGTTTCAAGTGGTAATATTTTGAATTAGTACAACTGAAAGATTCACTCCGATCATTGATGGGGTAGGAAGAACATTTTAAAATGAGTAAAACTGCAAAGTTTGGTCGCGAAATGTTGTAAAATGCGGAAAATATAACCTTGCAAACTTTTGTATCGCGTGCGGAAATTGCTGCCACATTTGAGCCGAAAATGGTAGCAATTTCCGCACGCAATACAAAAGTATACAAAATTTGCAAACTTTGCAAGGCTATATTTTCCGCATTTTACAACATTTCGCGACCAAACTTTGCAATTTTACTCATTTTAGTATGCTCTTTCTAGTTGTGGTGATTTATTTGCATCTCCTTGCCTAGTTTTAACATTAGTCTATAATGGGAATTGTCTATTGATAAAAGTAAAAACTATCGAGTCCCCTTAAGTTTAGTTTCCTCACTCGCCACATCCGTACTGAGAAGGTCTTGCCACCGTGTGCCTACAAGAGAATGGTTTGAAACACAGTTGAGTAACAAAAGTTGTACAGAAGAAAATGTGTAGGGAAGACAAAGAATATGACGGAGTTTGAATGATGGAATCTGGCTTATAGAACATATACTCATATTTCTCTTCTTGGCAGCAAAATTCAAAAACAAATAGATCCAAAGGATAAGATGAAAGGATAAGATGGAGTGGTGGAAGATGATCATGAAACAGATTTGGATGTACGGAGGATGATGTAAGAGATCGAGTTACACGAGTAGAAGAGATAACTCAACTCCTAAGTAAAGGGGGAAATAATTGTTCTTCAGCCTTACCACAGCTTTTCCATTCAAAACATCCTGGAGAAATGCTTCAAGTTGTTCTTGATTAAAACTTTCAGATAGTTCAGATGTTGGCAAAATGTAGAAAATGCGAGTTGCAGGGTTAAGGACCAGAACGAATGGAACTTCAACAGTGCTATAAATTAAAATATCTTTACGTTATTTCACAGAAAAGAATTTTCACAACAGGTCTAAAAAATATTTTCCTTCCTGGCAGCAAAATCCTCAAATAAAAATTTCCTTTGTGAACAAAATGCACATAAAGTACGTTTCAGAGAATTTGAAATGCTGCACATTGTGGTAGACTTCAAGCAGCAAAACACAAAGAATTCCAATGGCCCTCCAGTATACAAGTTGACAAAAATTAAACATCTACGTACGTCATCATTATCGATTCCATAACATCAATATCAAATATACCAGCAAACTGGAAGTGCCTAAAAGAAACATACGAAACTGAGCTGGACTATGTGGAAGTTTTGTTTAATGGTAAAATTATTTCAAATATAGAAGATATAGGCTACATACTTTCCATAAGTGGAATGCATTTCAGTTGCTACTTTCTTTCCTACTTCGCCCATCCTAGCAAATAAAATAACAGTTAGTCAGCTGCAGACGAAATTTTGATCTAAACAAGAATAACCAAATCCATTGCCATAGCTGGAAAGAGCATCTTAAAATGAGTAAAATTGCAAAGTTTGTTTGAGAATTGTTGTAAAATGAGGAAAATATAGCCCTGTAAAGTTCGCAAATTTTGAGCCGAAAGTTTTATCGCGCGTAATACAAATATATACAAAATTTGCGAACTTCACAGGGCTATATTTTCTTCATTTTACAACATTTAGCAACCAAACTTTGCAGTTTTACTCATTCTAAGACGCTCTTTCTAGCTGTGGCGTTGGATTTCGTTCTTCTTGCCTTGATCAAAATTTAATCTATAGCAGGAATCACCCATTCTCGTCGATGTGCACAACAAAGTGCTAATTATAACCCACCTTTTGGTAATTTGACTGTGTTCTTTGTTCTTAGAAAACGTCAGAAATACAATCATCTTCCCTACAAAAATTAAACATTTTTTTGCCTTTTATTCTTTAGTTTTAGTGTGTTTCATTGTTATAATCAAACAATCACAGAACTTGTTCGTATGGCTTTCAGATGAACCACAGGATACAGTCAGAACATTTTAGCTGATGAGATCAGCTTAATTTGCAAATAATCTGTTTGTTCCTCTTACCTGTCTCAGCTAACTCGTTAATATTAGAATCAGTGATAAACATAAATGGAAGAAACTTCTCTTGGTCAACCCATAAAGATAAATTGGTTTTGTTAACAGCCTCGCCTTTATCTACAATGAAAGACACACAATTTTTCTATTGGTCAACCCATAAAGATAAATTGGTTTTGTTAACAGCCTCGCCTTTATCTACAATGAAAGACACACAATTTTATTGTGTATTTTATGTTTGAATAAAGTTTTTTTATTAAATAAACATAAGTGTTATATAGAGTTTTTGGCCACTGAGAAAAATCGTATTTAAATACATGTAAAAAATACGTGTTTATATAATAAACAGAAAAATACATAGGTGCTTGGAAATACCAGATTTATTTCCAACCTCGTTCCCAGGCTCTTTGCTCACAAGAGCAAAGAGCCTGGGAACGAGGTTGATTTATTTCTCGTGTTAAACATGATATCTCACTCGTTCGCTGCGCTCACTCGTGAGATATCATGTTCAACACTCGAAATAAACCTGGTATTTCCGCGCACCCATGTATTATTCTCTATTTATTGACATCTTTATTGACAGTTTTCATATGCTGCACCTTGCAACAATGAACTTTACTATCCTTCACATATGACATTCATCAGAATGCTTACAAGAAGATACAACATGTATTACTGCTCATGTAGAAACGTGTATTGCAAAAATGAGGATTTAAGTCATTTAACACACCTTCAAAACTATAGTACTGAGCATTCTTGAAGACCAATAAATTTGGAACTTCGTCCAACTTCATGTCCTGAATAATACAGAATGATAACTTTTTAAATAAGATTTTTACCAGAATTTCAAATCCTTCGAAACTTACAAATTTACCAAAGCAAAATTTGTACTGTGATCACAGAAACTTTAATGGTGTAAACTAGCCTTTAGGAAATGCAACTAGCTCTGCAGCACAATATACCATTACCTCTGGTAACAATGAACTTGAAATAGTATAAAACATAACTTGGGCAATCTTTTGCTCTGCGATATCTTGAACAATTTTCTGTGACAGGAAGTAGATATACAATGGTCAAACCATGGTCAAAGCATTTCTTGAACACATTTAGTGAAAATATAGATATAACTTAATCAACAAAATGTGCAACTGTTAGGCTTACAGGTGGAACAAAATGAACGGGGTGGACAAAAATTTGTGGCTGGAAAAGATAGAGGGGCAGAAAAAATTTAGAGGGTGGGGCAGAAAAAATTTAGAGGGCGGGGTGAAAAAATTTAGAGGGTGGGGCAGAAAAATTTAGGGGGCGGGGCAGAAAAAATTTAGAGGGCAAGGTCGACAAAAATCCGAGAGGTGGACAGTTGATATTGATGGAAGTTGCCTAACATTATCATGGGTTTATTGATAGATGAACATAGAAGATAAATAGATGGAACACATCTCCTGAGGAAACACAGGCCTAATAATTTGCCTGATTTGTAAGTAGAATCTGTCCAACAAAACACGGAATGAGAGGACAGTCCACAGCTCCCCTGTATGCCTATCTGTGCAACAACTCGGCTGTACCTGGCAAGCCTGCAATTGTATGTGATTCAAATCAGATTCACAAGACTATGCTATACCTTGTACTCTTCAGACTGCGGACTGTCATCTTTGACAAAGAGAAAGAAAACATCTGAACTTGACTTCCTCTTCTCAAGCTCTTTACTTGTTTTAAATTCTGTCAAAATAGGCCTGAAATAAATAAACTGATTAGGAGTTTTCTTTATTAAACTTAAATGCTAATTATGCTATAAATAAACAAAGGTGTCTAACCTTGAAGCCTTCAGAGCAAACTCAACAAGAGCATCCTTTGATAGAGAACCGCTGTATCTGGCAGTCACATTGCCTCGGAAACTGCAGAGAGAAAATCAGGTCAAAATGAGTGTCTACTCCCTTACAAAAAATTTGTATAGGGTATTTCTGTAGATCAAATAGAATTTACAATACGAAGTTGTATAGGAATTCTGTACCGGTAGGAACTATAGCATTTCCTAAAAGAATTCCTACAGGAATAGTTCAGAAAAATTTAATGAAATAACTTGATGGATTAAACTTACAATTTTAATGTAGGAAATCCACGGATCTCATAGTCTTCAGCTATACCTGAGGAATTTGAAAATTATATATTACAGCATGCATGTTGTAAAGTCATTTTCCATTGTGGCAAGGAAATTATCCCCAGAAAATACCAAGCATTCAAACATCCATGCATTCAGCATGTCTTTATAATGATGTGAAATAACAGCATGACTTTGGATATAGAAAGCTCTTGGTTGCAACACATTGCCTTCTTGCCCAATATGACCAGTGTAACACATACATAATGGAACTTACTTCGATGTTTTTGGCAATCTATCCTTGCAGTCACAATAGTTGTACTTTGTTTTGATAATTCAGCACCAACTTCTTCCCATACAGGTTCCAATCTCTTACAATGGCCACACCATGGGGCATAAAACTAAGAAGTATAACATTATTGTTTTGCTAAATTACTTGCACCATGATACAGTGGAACCCCACCTTATGGTCACCCCAGGGACATATCAACCATGGGGGGTAACCCCCACCCCCCACACACACACAAATGTTAAACTCAGGTAAAATGGAACTTAAAATGGTGAATTAAAATTTAAGACTTAATTAACATGCTATGTAAACCGCAGTCTATTAATTCCAGGAAGGGTGTGTGTTTAAAAGTTCAAGGGGAGGAGTCTGCTATTAAAATATCAATGTCTACATGTGTACCTCGACAAACCAATAATGACCGTCCTTTTTCAATTCATTAAAACTAAACAATGGAAAACATTGGGAATTTGCAATTCACAAAACTGGAATGTGACGAATGTCTGTTCAGTTGGTATAAATGGAAAACTGGATGCAATGGAAGAAAAAGGAAATAGCAAGGAAGAAGTTGCATCTGACACTGGATAAGACAAATTTATGGAAACATGCATAATAGTGCTATTATTTTCTGCTGGCTGAGTAACAACAGAGGTAGAAATTTTTTTCTCACACTGCTGGGAGACTGGGTCACAGGTGGGGTTCAGGTCGTCAGAGTCACTTTTTATTTGCCTTGTGCTAGCCTGACCTATTTATTGTAAATATGAGATACTTTTGTTTATTACAGTCAGGCTTGGGTCTGCAGCATCCCTCAGCAGTGTGTGAGATTGTAATAAGATTATTTGAGCAGGCAGGCTAGGCACTTCCAGACTTGGCCTCACTTGGAATACTTTGATAAAAATTCTTGGAGATTTTGCATGTTAGCACTTTCAGAACACTATATTATTTTGAACCATTTATTAATACATGACAACACAATAGTACTTCAAAGTTCAAACACAAATAAATTTTCGTTCTTTCAACTTACGATTCGTCCAAATCAACAACACGGCTGTTCACTTGTACAACTAAAAACGCAAGCAGAAAATAACACTTTATAACGTACAACTGAATGCAATTTCTGAAATTTTCAAATATCAAAAACTCACCAAAAATATCAGTACAGAAAAGAACAAGAACTTTTATATAGAAATCCGCCATCTTGCACCTGTTTCTCGTTGTCCACGTTTTACCTTCCCAATCACCTGTTATCCCCACAGCACTGATATCAAAATAAACTGGATTGAAAACAGTACCACAGAATAAGAATGTACAGCAGAAGTGTAACTCGAGCAAGTATTTGTCCGCGTTTTTCCCTATATAATCTATGGTTTTTACAAGCGATTCATCATCAATCACGCCATCCTGGCTAGTACAACCGGCACTTTGTACCTACCAAAACCTGATAAAAACTTCCAGTTGTACTAGCCAGGATGGCGTGAGCGAGTTAAATTTTCGTGGACATAAAACAATAAAGGAACCGACTCAAGTTACACTTCTGCTGTACCTTCTTATTCTGTGACAGTACCGTCTACCATTACATTACTCATTTACTCTAGCTTATCAGAATGCTCTTGACAAATGACAAACATTAGAGTTTCATGTTGGAATGGTCGGGCCTATACCTGAAATATTCATATATTCACACTAGTTTCTCTAACTCAGCCCGTATGGTCAATGAAATACTATTATCCGACAAAATATCTTAGTAATAGGATCTTGAAACTCAAGATGTAAATCAAAACAAGACAAGAATAAGTAGTTTTTGTCATGGTATCATGTATCATACTATTTAAACGAAAGTTACAAATATATACATTGTATACAATATATACATTGTATATATTGTAACTTTAGTTAGTCTCATTAATAATTCATGAAGTGATGGGGTTTGTATAACTGATACAAAATCATGCTGACCTACATAAACTTTAAGTTCAATTTTCTCATCATTCATTTATTTTAAATTATAGAAGAATACAAATGCTCTCATCATGATTTACTCATACTGAGTCTGATTTTGAAATAAAATCCAAATCCAAATAAAATCCAAGTCTCGTCGTTTTGACTCAAATAAAGTGAGTTTCGAGATGCTAATCTTAGTACGGATTGTGTTTTGTTTTAATATTATGTCTGATATATATTAAATGATATAGATCTGTATTACACCATCACAAATCACCATAGTAATTTTCCGCTAAAGGCAGGTACGTGGTGACGGAAATCCGGTATCCACCTGGATTATGCAACCAAACTAGCCATGCATCAGGCCAGCACACTGTGACGCACAGCAGGGGACTGAGGGAGGAACGTCGGCTACGTAAATGGTCGACTCCTTTGTGCAGACTGTACGATCTGATTGTTTTGTTTCTATATCTAATACTATAATTATAAGCATTTACATGAAAAGTAACTAGTTTATATCTTCCCATATCCATTCCTAAACCAACTAGATTATAAACTAAGATGCTGCCTTTTAATTTCCTCATGCGGCTATTAAAGGCGTTTTTTTGACGTAAAAACTGATTGACGTCAGATTCAGAATGATTTGGAAAAACAAGAAAATCGCTTGTGAATATTCGTTTTCGACATGAAATCTATAGTATAGGCACAATCTAGTTTTAGTTCAGTGTATGATAAAATTCAGTTGGCGTAACTTTTTCTATATGTGAATATTATAGTAATTGGTAAACCCATTCCTTATAATAGCACCAACTATTCTAAAACAAAACACAACCCGATTATCAGCACTTGAAACCCAAGATATTGATCAAGCCATGCAAGACTGACAGAGCTTGTGATATTTCGCAAAAAGAGTCAGTACGATGGATTGCTGATGAAATCATGATGGGGTGTGTTTCGACTCAGATTATATAATATTGGTCTACTGTCAACTGGTATTGGTTTTTAACTTTTTTACTCTCGTGAACTCCAAATTTATCTTTTCATGTTGTTGAGCTTTGTTCGTCCTCAAAATCAAATCCGAAACAACTAGGCCATTGACCTCATTGGTATCAGGTAGTTAACTTTCCGGAAGCAATTAAAAAATAATAATCGTTCCAATTATTCCTCCATGATTTACCAGCAGTTCACTGGAAGTAACAACGGAATACGACATGTCAACATATGTTGAAATCGACTTCGAAAAACACAACCTTTTCTCTGAATATTCTTTGATATAAAACTATCTTAAATACAGCAGAAAACATTCTAAAATCGAGGTAGTTTATTTCAGAGTTGCTTGTTCTCTATTGTTAATTGATACCTTTTGACATATCGTTCGTGACGCGCAGGAAACAATTAAATCGCATTAATCACGCCTCCCGATAAAAGGTCATGATATGACTTCTATAATCCATAACAATCTTATCGTCTTCAACTTAAAACCACTTGGCGTTGAGTTCTTAGCCATTTATACCAAGAATTTACTGCTGAGATCAACGTCAAAGAGCACACACGTACACAAGAGAAACAGCTGGTAACTGCTGGTCTGTTTTCAAAAAGCCTAACGGAGAACTGTCTTCGCAATTTTGGTTGTTCTAATTATTGTTCATTTGGGGAATCGACGACTTCTACATAAACATGACCACTGAAAGGCGTTTAAGCGATAAAGAAAGAGCGAAGCTTATATATGGAGAGGTAAGAGGGGTCTAAATATATAGAACAATACTAGTTCAAGTTGTACGCTGATATTAATGTTACGGTGTTACCTGTGATATAAATCAATGACTAATGATGAAAATTAAATTTGTGAGCTGCTATTATCGCGACACAAACCAATCTGTTATCTTTTGTAGTCGTGTTTAAACGTTTTGAGTTTTATTTATAGCACACCTTTGAAGATATAGAAAACAAAAAAGTAAATATACAACATGTGCTTTACTGCATATGTGCCTGTACTAAATTCAAAACAACATGCGTCAGACAAATTATAATATATCGCATTACTTGTGTTTATATTCACAGCAATATGATATGACAGTTATACAATAAACGCATCTTGTTCCGTTCTGTGGATAAATCATAAATGGAGTAGGGGCTACCGATAACATCAGCAGAGAGTTTGCATGAGACTGCACGCAGCTATGACTGATGGAGACTCATGTCTTAGTGTGGAATTGGTGAAATGCCAGCCATGCTTTGTGAATCATGCGTGCCAAATAGCACATCGTCATGGAAACATTCGTCAACTGTCTTTCATTCCTTTTATTTGAAAGCAAAAATGAAAGGCAATATGGAATTTTGTAGTTTCTTTCCAAAACACATTGTATTTAAATTGAATAATTCTTTACCAGCAAACAATTTCACGAAATTGAAGATGGAACACATTCCCAAAGTCAGCATATTGTAAACTCAGGATTGAATAAACAAAATTTGTAAATCGGTTCAAATATTTCACAGAAAAACAGTTCGAGGACGAAACGATATAGGGCACACGAGAAAAGTGTCACGTTACAGTGTTATGTTTTATAACCTGCAATTTCAATTCCTGAACATCTTATACAGATGTTGCAAATAATAATTCCACATCATACGGAACAACATGTATTATAAAGGACAGGATGAAGAACGCTTTAGTACGTAATCTACTCTGTTTATAACGTCATACGATTTTACTCCTTGAAAAGTTCTTGGACGGAAAAGAGTCCAAGGATCTGTAGCCAAGAACTCCTTCCCTTCCAGAGATATATTTTCTCAGTATAACACCAGATGTTTTTACATTTTGATTTTACATTTTGGAAAGGAAGAGTACAAAATAAAAAAGACATCCTTAATTAAATCTTTTAACCTTTTCCGTTAATACCGAATGACAAGATATAAACAATGCTGACTGAGTATTTCACTACGCTAGACGATTTCATTTCTCAGTTGGGAAAGTCCTATGACGCAAATGAGTTAATTTACAACAAAATTATAAAATTCCGGAAAAACCATTCCACATGCACATTATAACGTATACAAGGTCTTTTGCTCTTGAGACAAACTTTCAATCGAAATCTTTAAGAATGGGATTTTGAGTTTTGTAGTATGGAATACTGACATAAACAGTGCTACATAACCGCTAAAAATATCCCAGTTTACTCATGAACAAGGCAGCTGTTTCAACATTGATGCATCGAGGTGCTCACGGGAAACATTTATTTCCAACGTGTTTACACACGATGGCGGAATGTGGTCAAGGATTGTTGAAATAGATAAATGATTTGTATGGACAATAATTAAACATGTGTAAAACTGTGTTGTCTGCAAACCATCTGTTTTACTGCGGATATTACATTTGTCCCTATAATTTGATTTCCTATTGTGGCTTTCTCACATATTCTGGCATTTTGCTGATTGTTTTTTTTTTGCATTTATCTTCAAACTGGTATGTGTTGTCGCGTTGTGTCACTCCTAATTAGCCAGCACCCAATTAATACTCTTCATATACAAAGACAAATTTTAGATTAAACCCCTAATTATATTTAAATCATCGGTTGAATAGTTGTTTGGTTACTTTGTTCATTTCCCTTGCTTGGTTGGGGTTTAATTGTTACATTGTGAATTTTAACTTGCTTCGGTGTACTGTATATCATATATGCTAAACATGGATCATCGGTGAAAATCTGACGGATCATTCCACTTAGCAAGCTAGGATCGGCGTCATCTATATTGACGGCGGCTCCATGGACAAACATGCATGATATTTTCTTGATGCTTCTAATGCCAGGCCATTGGACCGATTTATAGCAGGGGGGCAAAGGGGGTCTCGTCACGAAATCGCGATATTCAGAAACACAGAAGCGTAACAAAGTCTGAAACCATTTAACGATTTTCTAGACAGCAGAACTCGATATTAACACAAACACATTTTACTGACTTTAACATTAGAGCTTTTAAAGGACTATGGAAATCATTGGGAGGCATTACGTAACATTACGAGCATCTTACGATGGTTCACGACGACTACGAAGAGTGTACGAAGGTATACGACAACGACGTTTACGATGAAACGAAGAAACTTCAAGAAAGACAACCGCGGGAAGCAAAGTTTTCATTTTTTAACCTTAATATTAAATTTGGGCACGCATATTAATCAGAATCACGAAGCACGAATAATTGCTAATCGCGAGTCACGAAAATACCATTGACCCATCACCCGTCAAGATGCATCGTCCGTCTGACGGATAATTGTGTCATTCCAACATCCGAATTTTCTTGATTTTTCCTGGCATGGTTTGGTAAAGTTTGTGGGGAAGGCCCTTCTCCCCCCCTGTCTCGTGCGGCTATGGATCCCGGAAATAAATGCTTGATATTTTCCAATAAGCAAAATATTTTCGAGTAAAATATTCTTCAGTTTGGTAAAATATCAGTCAAATTTTAAGACTATACTTCGATACATAACATATATAAGTTAGTGTAATATTCCAAAAGCGAACCTTTTGACTTGGATAATACACACATACACATACATATATGAAAGTTGCCCCCCATATGCCTTTAGATTGTCAGGCGGAAAACTGCGGTTTATTATTTGTTCTTTATTTCTAAGGAATTAACATATTTATATATGACTGGAAATTATAATAATGTAGGCGCCGGATTACTTACATCGGGCTTTCTAGATAAATGAAGGATTAAGACATTCTGCACATGGTCTACCTTTATAAGCCTTTATTCTCTCTAATTAAGTTCGAATAGGTGAAACTTGTATTTGATTTTCAAACTTGGCAAGATGTGTTTCTTACCAGAGGTAAACATTTTATGAAAGGATTGAAAGCGTTTCCATTTTGCTGGAAACAAACTAATGAAGAAGCCCCATTAATTTCAAAATCTTAAATCATTGCTTCTTTCATGCTAAGCGACGTCTCTAAATTGGAAATCGGAAAAGGAAATGCAAATATATAATATGGAGAACTGCCAGAGCTTTGCATTGCCGCCATCGGTAAATGTCCGCAAACAATATAAACCTCGATATAAACCACAAAAACACTATTATGTAGTTCCTATAATTACATGTATGGCAGAGAAGGGATAGTGTTCGAGGTGAACCAACCAATGTAAAATGATCACGTCAGTGGCCAGTCATGATTCCAGTTCAATTTTGTGAACTGACAACATATAAACTAGTGAAATTAAAACTCCGAAAACATGGTTCCTCCTGTAGTAACAATAAGGGATGAATCCTACTGGACCTCGAGGGAGAACATTTTATTGAAAAACTGATAGAAGTATAAGTTTGTAATAAGGGGCTGTTCACATGAGCCAGCCCAGCTAGCCAGGATGAATAGTGTCACCAAAGATTTTTACTGACTAGTTTGAATGAACTTTATAATGTTACTGCATGGAAACAAACTAAGTTAATTCAACTTTGAAATAAAATTTTGGATGATTATCGCCGCGACTCACAATGTGTTTAATACTCGACTTGACAATGAAGTCATATTTCCGTTCATACTCTATATACATCACTCTCGTTCGGTGCATGCTATTGCAGCACTGGTTCAATTCACGGATGTATGGAATAAGGGAAGTACTTATCATGATATTGCCACCCATGATCTACCGCCCTACCAATGACCATCGCCCAATATGATATTGAATGTGTATATATATGAAATGCTTTTCAAGCCAGTGCTGGCTTGCATTATACTCAGTTATATTCGAGTATGGACCGCCACCAGAAAAGCTATCTGCATATTTATGATCACGGCAATAACATGATTCATGTTATTGCAATAATCCATATAACAACATATAAGATAGTGGATTTCCGTTTTGTTAATCCCAAGCTTGCCATAGTGCAGTTGGTTGAATCACCGATATTTTTTAGTCACATCCACTACTCAACAAAAGCGAAGTTTATACTTAAATAAAGAATTGAATTAACATTCAGGACGTTTTTCAGAGATCATTCTGAGTTTGTCACCATGCAATCAAAATTTTATAGCGATTTTAAGCAGTTCACTTTCATTATTGAAAGAGCTTAGATATATAAGAATGATGATACAAAAAGGTACAGCATTTTTTTACAGGAAAGCGACGTTATGGCTAAGGAGCAGGAAGATTCTTCAAAAACTATGCAAATGGACTTTCGAACAGGACATTTTTAAATAGGTTGTTTGGCAACGTGAAGTGGTCGGGAAATGAGTGAGCACTTGAATATAATATTGCTTCACTTTTGACCTGCCTTGCAACACGAGCAAAATGAGTGTAAAGCTAATTCAAGAAAGTTCCATATATGGGAAAAATATTTTGGATGGTAGTACAGCACTCTTTATTACACGGGAGATGGACGATACACTATATTAACGTGTTATAAATGCGACATTACATTAACGTGAATTGCTTCGATCTGATCTCCATAGAAATACGTTATTAACTTCAATCATGTTCGTGTTTCCAATGCGGCTTAATTGATTACCGTGGATACCCAGACGAAGGAAAATATTAAAATGCATATTAATTAAATGATGGAATCATTATCGAATCTCATGGCGATGCTGTCGTCAGTGAAGAAACGAACTATATACTGCTCCACCTTACCTTAAACTTAGTCCTTACCTTTTTGTAAATGATTATTACTGAATAATTCATAATTTTTAAAATGATTATTATATGATACTATGTCATGATTATCTAAACAAATCAATGTACTTGAAACTAACATAAATTAATGTTATATAATCAACGACAATGCGAAATTTACAAATTCGCATTTAAAGAACTGGAACAGATGATCCTTACTGCATGCATTTGTGCTCATGGAAAAGGTATAGAAAAATTTACAACTGATAGGGTCTGATAGGACTGTCCAGTATAAACAAAGTTAGTTTAGGTTTATCATCAAAATGAAAGGTATTGATTTGAGATTATTCCCACAAAGAACTCCCAAAACAGGAAAAGATTAAGAATAATACTAATAGACGACGGATTTGTCTCCTAGTGGATCAAAGCACACAGAGCAAAACAAACTGATTTCACACAATCACATTTTTTTCACACAACACTCAACAAAGAAAAATATAAGCCGGGAAGAACCGTCATATGGCTTTTGATTAAGTAGGAGTAATACCATTGAAAATCCATGTGCCGCATGCACGTTTTTTAGATCCGATTTCTGTTGAGATTTTGAAAAACAACATGCAAACAGGATTGATCTGAAGGAGTGTGTCTATAAATAGCTATGATGTAGGCACAAGACGGGTGTTTTTCATGATTACATGAAAGCAGAGGAGGCAGTGGACAACCAAGTTTTCTTTGCCGTTTGTACACATATACACACATAGTAATGGACAACCAAGTTTTCTTTGCCGTTTGTACACATATACACACATATACACCTATAAAGGTGGAGTGAGCATAGTACTCAGGATCCAGTGTTATCAAAATGGAAGCATGCATATTTGTCGTTTGCGGGTACCGGTAAATTGTTGTGTATCTTACGATCATTTTGTATTGTAACTATTGTCTACAGACATATAGTAGTGCAGGGATGGTCTCATTAGAAATTTCTAACGGCAGTAAATATGTTAAGTGGCAATATTTGTCACTTAAAATTCCCTACAATCTATTAGGTAAAGACACCTTTGTTTTATTAATTCGTTGGAACAATATCATTGGCTATGGTGAATGCTAATTGCAACATTTTGCAACACAATTCTTTCATGAATATGCCGAGGACTTGAAGTTTGGCAGACTGACATAAAAGACACGAGGAAAACTTGAAAAACTCGTTGGCGTGTGCACACCTCAAAATACTTGCATACAAAATCTGATCAGTGTGAGCATATAAAGCTTAGTAGCGGTGGTACGGATTCAACAGCACGCTTGTAGAGTCGAGTTGGCCATTTGTTAGGAGTCGCGATTCAAGGATCGAAGTGTTTTAACGTTGCAGGTTTATTAGCTATCGAGAATGAAAGAGGTATACATGAAAAAACCCCGGAACATCAGAGCAATGCAAAGATCATGAAAATCTTCATATATTTTTTATAACTAACTCGTCCGGTGTCAACCTCGCAAGCCAGGGTCTTTTACTTCCGCACGGCGCCGAGCGCAGGTAAAAGACCCTGGCTTGCGAGGTTGGTCCGGTGTCAGAGGAAACTACTGTTTTGTTAGAATTAGCACATGAATCTTCTGGAGTTAGGCAGTAGAGTATATTCGTTAGGCGTACGTGACGAATATACTCCAGGAGAGCTAAACATGTTAATAGTTGATACGGCCTCGATCATTCGGTCGAAGGCAGGAGAACGAATATAATTAAACTTTACTAAACTATAACTTTACTTATACTGGACATAACTCAGTTCTAAAGTGTTCTTTTTAATGATCCAGTAACGAACATGCGTTATTGGTTATTCAGTGGCTATATATGGCAGGATATATGGCAGGAAACTGCAATACCCGAAGAAAACCTGCATGCGGCGCTTGGTAGGGTCAGGCTGGTAGCTAGTCTGTACACACTCGCAACTTCTGCCGTATTCTCCCGAGAATTTACGGCTGTGCACAGGCTAGCTGGAAGCACTCTTCTCACATGCGAAATTCAGTATAATCGGATATTTGTATGTAGATTATAGTGTAGGATTGAACCCCAATCGAAGACGTGAAAGGCATATAACTGTCCCACCAACACTGGTAAATCATTTGAGTCATGACTCCACGGGTAAACTATTTAATATTCTGACAGCTTCTTTCTAATCTTTATAGGAAAACCTGGACCAGTTTGTAAGCAGTGATCCAATGAGAGCGACACTACGCGGAGCGGCTCAAGCGAAGCGACAACATCTCAACCGTCAAATTTTTAAAAATTTACGTCTACGTGATGGAGCCGAGAAGATGCTACAAGCAACAGAAGGACAACTGTAAGATGTTTTTAAGATTTTATGAAATCAATTACACATGAGTCACGTTTTAGGGGGAGTTACTATGTTTAGACTTTTAGGGTTAGGATTTGGGAAAGGTTTCGGATTAGGGTTTGGATTAGGGAAAGGATTATGATTAGAGTAAGGGTTTATGCAAATTAATGATGTAGGCAACAAGTGCTGCTCCACACTTGACCAATATTTCTTTCTTTCTAGTGTAAATAACAAAAAGGTCCAGCTTCAAAACTTGAACAATACTTCTTTTTTTCTAGTGTCAACAACAAAAAGGTCCAAGATACTTTGCGACTGGAAATCAGTTTCTATGACTCTCGTTTGGAAGTTTTGTACAACGAACTCGCGAACTTAAAGAGTTCTTTTGATATTTACCAAAGGTTGGTTACTACATAATCAGCTATTCAATTAATCAACCAAATAATCAATCAACCAATCAAATCAATTGACCAAATAATCAATATATCAGTCAACCAGATAATCAATTAATCAATCAACCAATAATCAATGAATTAATCAACCAAATAATCAATCAACCAAATAATCGATCTATCAATCAACCAAATAATCAATTAATCAACCACATAATCAGTCAACTAAATAATCAATTAATCAACCAAATAAATTAATCAATCAACAATATGATAAATTAATCAACCAAATAATCAATTAATCAAACAAGCAGATCAACCTATCAATTACCAATCAATGGCAATTACATGCCCTCACATAAGCTATTATCACGAAGCTATATCAATCAAATGGTTTCTTTATCTTTTAGCGCCACAAGAACAGGTTTTCCAATGATCGCTATTTCCTTGAAAGATACAGTCGACATTGAATGGAGAGAAGCTATAGAGGTACCAAGAACTATACCATATCAAAACGTAAAATATATATATATATAGTAGTCAACATCTTATTTTCTATTTATGCAGGACTTTATTGAAACTCACTATCATGAAAATCCAGAGCAGTTTCGAGATGAAATAGAAAGATTGATTGAACTACGGCAGGTATACGTATAATTTAATACACGATAATTAAAACGTTCATCGAAGAAAATAATGAGACATAACTACACTATATAGAAAGTAAAGTAGACAGGATCTATCTTTTGTGTGCTGTATGTAAATCAAGTTTGGTTGATTATAGAGGTATATTGACACTGTATTACATCGACCACCATAACCCGGTCGAGACAGCCAAAATCAAATGGAAAGCATGCAAGCTTAAAAACATTTTTGGTTCTTTTCCATTCAAGGTGATGCAAACTCCAGAAAGAAACGAAAAAGGTGTGAAACTGTTGTACGAATATTACCACCACCTGACGCTAGTTGAAAAAAGGATGTTCACCAATAAATCATTCGCTGGAATCCAGTTCGTCTGGTTCGACTCTTTAACAGCACATCAAACATCCAGCAGTTCTTTGACTTATGAAAAGGCCAACGTTTTGTTTAACATTGGAGTACTGTGGACCCAAATAGCGGCAAAGAAGGTAAAGAAAATGGTCCAACATTATAGAGAAAGTTCACTTGTTTTAAAATAAAGTGCTGTTATTTGGTACTAATGTTGATATATTTATTCCTACCAGGAGTTCAACACAGAAATGAAGTCAGCACAAGAGGCAATCAATGCACTCCAGAAAGCAGTTGGTACGCTTAATGCTTACTTAAATGCTTGTTAAATATTTTAGATTTATTGTCTGAATCCGTTTCTCTTATGTGTTGCATTTTGATTGTGTTTGAATTTCATCCGCTTGACCGCGTATCCTTTTCTTCTAATCTTACAATATCTTTAATTTTAGGAATTTTCACGTATCTCAAACAAAGTGTTAGGGAAAATTTAAGCAAAGATCTAACACCTAATGTCCTTGAAGTCTTAGTAGATATTTTCAAGGTAGGAAGAGAACATACATTAGTAAATACTTTGGCTACTGTTCGGTGGGGACAAGAGCCTTAACTTGGTTGTGGGAACATATGTTGCTATTACTCAGGTTACTGTTCGAGAGTCTTAACCTGACTGTGTTTCTGTTTTTTTCGTTGTTACAAACTTGCATTTCCGCAGCGCACCCGGAAGAGACGAAATTTTCTTGTTTCATTGTAAAAGTATACATAGGCAATCCCATCCGTTATTTAAGGCTATTTCTAAAACAATCACTTTTCTTACCACATACCAGTGACTATAGTCCTATACAGGTTGTCTTTCACCAATTTGTAGCCGAATAGCACCAGTTCTAACGAGTGCTTCATACACGCTGTAGGTGCAAGCACATGAATGTATCTTGAACTGGGACATGAGAGAGTCTGATAACGAGGACGTCGAGTGTTATAACATTTTGGCAAGAGAAGCAGCACAGGTAGACGAAAATAAGAAATTTTATGTCATCTCCACCTCATCCCAAGGAAAAATCATTATCGTCCACAGCTCATCGAAATGCTTCTTCATACAAGACATTTAGTTTGTCGGGCATACCTGCCTTGGGTAAACTGTCATGTCAATTCTAGTTCCTTACCATAGGATAAGCTTTCATCATCCAGTTCCAAGTTTTGACCACAGTCACTAGGAGACAATCCATTTCCCTTTTGTTGGGAACGTAGGAAAATAAAGATTTTCCCACTATATTATTAACGGATTTTTCTCTTTAAGCTATCTGGAAGATATGAAGTTTTGAAAGAGTCCATGTCTGAAACTGCAAGTATTCCACCATCATGGTGCACTTTAGCTGAGGTAATGATAACATTTTAAAATCCTGATCAAACAATTAGGATGAGAGTTGCAACTCTTGCTAGAGTTTGATCGTCAGCTCTCGTCGTTTCTCATGCATCTAAGCATCTTTAAGCTGGTTCAAATTTTGATGGGAGTTGATGAGAGTTTTTGGTCATTTGACCGTTAATATCGGGTCAGCTCTCAACAATTCTCCCGCAACTCTTGTTCTCGTTTGACCGGGACACGAGAATTGAACTCTCTCTCAAGCAAACCCACGTTTCTCGACTCTCATCAACTCCCATCCTCGTTCGGGCTTTCATATCCATACGCACGCTAGTCATGCTATATTTTGTTGTCATTGCCTGCTTGTCAAAGCTCTCCATTAAAATTTTTTCATGTGTTGTTTAGGTGAAGTCATTGCATTTCAAAGCCATCGCCCACTATTATGCAGCATTAATTTTACTACAAAATTATGGTAAGTCGCGAAGACCGAAAATTTTAAAAATTTGCTCCGTATTTTATTTATCAAAATATTACACTGCGTTCAGCCGGTCTAAATTGGGCTATTTTTAAAAGGATGTTTATTAATAACTCTAACAAAAACATCTTTAATTTCACTAACAGATCCAGATTTCACGGATTGCGATCATGACGTGTCAGGAACGGAAGAAAAAAGATTATCGACGCTGGTGGAGCTGAACAAAATTGCGACATGGCTGATGAATGAGGACAGCAGGACGGACAAAGCAAAAAGTCATTTGAAGAAAGCAATCGTCACAGAAAAAGAGGCACTACAGGTCGCAAGCAATGATCGATTTATTACAAGACTCGAGTGTATACAAAAGGTAACTTATTATTACGGAGGGCGGTGGTATAGTCGGTAACATGTTGCATGAATGGACCTATTCCCTAATGAACAAAATTTTGATCTAGACAAACATTTCACCACAGCTTGAAAGAGCATCACAAAATTAGTAATATTCCGAAGTTTCGTTGCGAAATGTTGTAAAATGCGGATAGTATAGCCCTGCAAAGTTTGCCGTTTTTCAGTCATTTTGTATTACGCGCGGAAAATTGATACCGCTTTCTGGTAAAAATAACCACTTTCGGCTCAAAAATGGTTACTTTTCCCGCGCGTAATGCAAATATATACAAAATTTGCGAACTTCACGGGGCTATATGTTCCTCATTTTACAACAATTCGCAACCAAACATTGCAATTTTACTCATTTAAAGATGCTCTTTCCAGCTATGGTAATGGAGTTTGTTCTTCTTGTATAGATCAAAATTTCGTCTAATCATCCATTGAAAAATGGTACAGAAAATTGGTCTAGACTTCCTAAACATAGAACGAAAATTAATTCATGTATATGCGTTGGTAGGTCCTGAACACTTTCTCAAGTCAAATCAAAAACAAACTATCATCAGTTGATATATCTGGAGATTTGGACCTAATTGCATCTGTCGATGATATTAACTGTAAGTACAATATGCATTATATTGAAAGTTAATGACTTTGACAGAAAATTAAATATACGATACGGTTCATGAAGTGAGGTACAAAATGCAGTCGCATTCTTCAGTCGCCTATCGTTTCAAAGGTAAAACATTTTTATTCTCGTTTTAACAGGTTCAACAGATAGGAAAGATAAAGTTATTGGACCAGAGTTTACGAAATACAATGTGAAAGATATCTTCGCCGGATTGGTAAATTATTAATATATTGTTAAGATAATTATTTAACTCAAGCTTATACATAATATACAAATAATGAATGTTTATGAGTGCAATGGTAAGAATATTTTCATGAGCTGAAAGATGGAATGTTCCATTCAACGAGGCGATAGCCGAGTTGAATGGAACATTCCATCTTTCACCGAATGAAACTATTCTTACCATTGGCATTGCACGAAAAAACATTCATTATTTGTTTTATATAATACCAAAATAGACTAATAGATTCGTATGAGAAGCATTTTGAGGGATGCGATTTATCGAAAACACAAAGAGTGCAATTGTAGGTACGTTTTATTCCATTGCATTCGCAGAGAGTGCAATGGAATGTGTTCCATTGCACTCTTGGGAAATGGAATTTTCTATTCAATATCACATGACCATAAACAGCCAATTAAACGATCAGAATTCAATAAGGTATTATATAAAAGTAGATTGACAACACCATCACCATCCAAATATGCACCCTCTCAACATTTTCATATGGGAGGAAGCAGAAATACCTGGAGTAAATTTATAACTGTTTGCAGAGACATGACTAACCCTTGGGGCTTTGCAATCGTCACAGCAAGCCCCTTTCACCTCAGACTCAAGACATTCATGTGAAAAGACTCGGTCAACGCCCTTCCGATAGTCGTGGTTTTTCTCCGGGTACTCCGGTTTCCTCCCACAGGGAAAGTTGATGGGGTGGGTTAGAATTATCTCCAAACTTACCCTTCGAACAACTAGCCTCTGGATGGTAATTATGTTAGACAGAAATATTTAACAACGTTTTCTCTTAAATTTCAGGGTCCACTGAACGTGTTCAATGCAAAAATAGCATACCACCCACCTAAGACAGTCACAATAACCCGAGATGAACAAGGTGGTCTGGGAATATCGATACGTGGTAGCGGACCAACCATCATTTGTAAAATTAGTCCAAAACGACAGGTATGAGGTGATACAGTGAGCTTTTATAGATTTCGCTTGGTATTCTAGACATTATCAAGGTTAATGATGCATTTTGATAGCCTATTATTACTATCATTAACTGATTGTACATTTTTCATTGCAGCACGCTGGAATACAAGCTGGTGACATCATAATGGCAATTGGTAGTCACAAAGTAAAATGTTTGAACCATAAACAAGTATCAAGAATTATACAGGAATCAGGACAGAGTGTGACGTTGACACTATTGTCAGCAGTATCGCCGAGTGTTATACTTCATGCATTATAGATGTGGAAATCAAATCTGATTTGCTCCGGATTGGATATGGGTCAAACACCTGATCAGATCTGATCCAGAGCAGATTTCTAATGATGATGAATACAGCAACAGTCTTAGCCATGTTACACTTTCCTGTTTACTACAGAGCTCCTAGGCTGTGGCACAGGCTCCTACAGAGCTCCCAACACTCTAGGAGGAACAGACTTGAAGTGTTTCATGTATGATAGAAGAAAAATTATGACAAACATATACTGTATTGATGTGATATGCACATAATTTATAAACTACCAAATGAATAGAGTTATATATCCTACGGTTATTTTAGTTTCCTGAAAATTAGTTCCAGTAAGGACATGTATGCTATAGCCTAGAGAAGTGACATAGTCTACATACACCCAACCTGGATGAACTACTAGAAGTGTCAGCTAGTGATATATTTATTACATAGAAATTAAGATTATGTAAAATTTGTAAATATAAAGATTATGAAAAAGTTTGTTATTGAATTTATTTGATGTGTTGTGTACTGGACTGTGGGCCACCCTGGGAATGACGTGTGATCGCTCACACATGCCTTAGCTTATCAAGAAGTGCAATTTATCCCATGTGCCTTAATTAAGGTGCAATGCAAAATATATTCATAAAAACCATACCCCATACATTATATAATTTTATTTCAATCAATCAAAATTATGAAGCATAAGGGACTTTCTAAAACTGTAGAAAATGTTTTATATCCATGACACAATAACATATGCATTAATTGCCAATGGACCTATTACCTAACCAGCAAAGTTTGCTGTTTTTCAGTTGTTTTGTATTACGCATGGGAAATTGATACCGCTTTCTGAAAAAAGGTATCAATTTCCTGCGTGTATAATACAAAATGACTGAAAAACGGCAAACTTTGCAGGGCTATATTAACCTAATTGGAATTTTACAACATTTTGCAACGAAACGTTGGAATATCACTAAATTTGGGATGCTCTTTCAAGCTGTGATGAAATTTTTGTCTAGATCAAAATTTTGTTCATTAGGTAATAGGCCCATTGTGTTAGAACATATGCCCCTTCATCTCTCATGCTCCAAATTTCATTGGTCATTTTCATATTGTGTTACTTTCTAGTGCAAAAACATATCTGACAATGCATGGCTTTTACGCGATTCTGTGGATTTGGAATTCCAGTGTGTTCGGAATAAGCACAAGGAGTGCAAATCATTGCACCCAGCACCCTATCCTTCCCTTCCTGTATTGGCCTAATAATAAATAGCGAGCTTTTGAGGAGAAACCCTTGCTTACAGTACAGGTTCTTCACAATGTTCCAAATGTAGATCCAATACCTAGTTCAATTCCATACCAAAAGCAGTTTTGTCAACATTTTCAAGATTTTTAAATTCATTTCATATTATGCCTAAAATATTATTACATAATGAAATATGTTGAAAGACATCCATCATTGATGTTTAACCCGACTTAAAGCAATATAATGCTTAGTTTTATCCTCCAGGTTGACAAAGCCAATTGGACCTATCTCACAGTCTGCACATATCAGATACTTCGTCGTGTTAACAGTTTTTGAAAAGCCAACATTTTCAAAAGTATACATGTCTATCACTAACCAGAATTGAGAAAGTGTCTCACGCTCTGATTCTTTAGGTTCACCATGTTTCGCTGATGTAAATGGTAGGACATACTAAATGAATAGATAGTTTGGTTTTCAGATCTGATGACTCATCTTTCTTGACCCACTAAGCTGCATTAAGCCCTACTTATTTTACTCTGTCTAACATCAGACAATTTTACTCATTAAGGGAAAAATCTTGTGCTTTAATGGGTTAACCAAACGATCTGCCAAATTAAGAGAATGTGTCTTGTTAGCCATCTTGCCCCGGCCCCCAAACTCAAAAGGGGCCCCCAAAGCAACAAAGTCCCTTAAATTTCTTGATACTTGCTTAACCGAGAATATAAATCCTAGCTGTGTTAGTGCAAGATAATATGCAATAAAGTGCAATATATTGTAAAACACCACTTCTCCTGTTTTACAAGTATGATGTCATAGGGGCTCTTGAAAGAGTTTTCCCTAGGTCCCGTGCAACCTCTTGGCAGCCTGTGTTCATGCATATAGTACCTTGGTTTGAAAAGTAATTTTTAGATACCTGTCAGAATATATCAGGCATGATTTGCCCCCCCCTGACTATTACAAGTATAGATTGCGCTATTCTAGCTAGTTTATATAGATCGGGTCATTTATCCAGGGGGGGGGGGGGTGCTGTGTGCATTATGAGCATTATTTCTGATAACTCACTCAGGCCCCTGATCACCTCAACATACTCACTTCTTTTTCCAAGTACTCTCCTTTATTTGGCTGCAACACCTTGGAATCGCAGTGAGGACAAAGCAGCCATTTTAAGTTTTTACCATTTTCTGAAACAAGTTCTGTTTTATCAACATGTTTTTGCATTTCATCGCTTTCCGTTTGACTTTTTCCCTCTTCAGAATCTACACTGGCCATAAGTAAAATTTCCAACACAAAATACTACAAAATATGACAATTTTATTTGTATATTTTCAAGTCATCAAAATACACACATGGCCAATGCAGTGATTTTGTACGAGGAAATCCCATACACTAGAAGTCGACTTCAAAATGGCAGCCTTAAATATTTTTTACAAAATAAAAAAATAAATTGCAAAAAACGAAACATATAAACAAAAAAATACAAAAATATTCTCAGGAAAGAAAAACAGGGAGCAAAATGAATAAATTCGTTTGAAAATAATTGCGAGACTACACAATAAAATGCTTAAATGCAAATTATAACCAAAATTGAAAACTAAATTTTTACTATATTTTTAATGGCAAGTAATTTCAACGTGAACTCAATCATTATAAGTTGAAAATTTGTCTATCGAGCTTTAATTATTAAGGCTATTTCTATGTCGGTTCTATGTAACCGGAAAAAGTTTTGTGCATTGGCAGCATTGCAAATTAATGCACATGTCCGCCATGTTCTACTTTTCGCGTATAGCTTTTTATCACCTTCGAATAATCAGCAAGTAATAGCGTAATTTATAACATATAGTAAACCAGAGAGTAAACTAGTGTATAAACAATCTTTAGTTATAATATACTTAGGAATACATGCTATTTTATTTAAATAATAAAAACTTTTTGGGACACGTTTGGTTTTCGGAAAATTGAAGCTAAAAATTTTCTAAAAATAAATAATGACGTCCGCTGACGTCAGTGGATGACGTCAAGATATTGCGTAACTCAATGTTTTCCTTCTTGAAAAGAATGTCAACAAATGCTTGGTGCTCATGACATTGCTTTTTTTTACAGAGCAAAAAAAATAAAATTCGTGTCATCCGTGTGAGAAACTAGCAAGATAGAAGTGGGCTTCGCCTTCTCAGTCGTTTTAAACTTTCATCCATGGAAGAACAAGAATACATAGAAAGCCAAAGTCGGTGGGTAGCGGAAAGATAAAATATTTCAGAATATTTTTAATTTTTTCAGTCAAATATGCATTCATTGCTTCTTCCAAACTATAGAGCAGTTAGTTCAAAGATTTCAAGGTTTATATGACATATTTTAAAACTTTGTTTTAATTTTGTTTTACATTTGTTTATACTGTAAATGTGATTTAAAAGATTTGTAATATAACGGAACCTCTTCATAAACGTTCATATACTTTATGTGTAGTAAATATGGTGTTGCATGCCGGCGTTTACTGGTATTTGTGTGGTTTAAATCTGATCAACCAATCCAGTTTAACCAGCCTTGTGCTGATTGGCTGAGCTAGCCAAAGTTTCACACGACGATAGATTTAAACAATATTATTTGTGACCTTTTTTTCTTTAGCTGGTATTCTGGCTGGTTTAGATGGTGTCCTACATCTGATGAATTACTACAGGCTGCAGAAGCACGAATTTTACAAAGTATGTTATAAAGTGGCGGTTCACCCCCTCCTTCCCCCCTTCCCCAATGGTAATTTCTAGCACAGAAACCTTAACTAGTGTCACTGGTTATCAAAAATGTCCATAACTTATGGAACATTCCATGGCAATTTGGCTCTGGTGCAGGGACATCACCCCCCTAGCAGAAACCCCTTCCGGGCAAACCTGGATCAACCCTTACTACAAACTTTAAGCTGACCCCATTCTTCAATAAAATCCTCATATTAACCATGGCATCATTATCTATTTTTGCAGAATTAAATGTTCCATACCGAGCATGTTATGTGACAACTTCACAACAGGATAAAGTTTGGACCGTATCATTTAATCCTGAAGGCACAAAAACACCAATTCTAATGATACATGGCTTCGGTGCTGGGCTTGGAATGTGGGCGTTAAACGTGAAAGAATTATCAAAAGATCGACCCATGCACACTTTTGACATGTTAGGTTTCGGCAGGAGTTCCCGACCAACATTCGATAGCGACCCCGAGATTGTCCAAGAGACATTTATAAATTCAATCGAAGACACAAGAAAAGCACTAGGCCTTGAGAAGTTTATTTTGATCGGACATAGTTTTGGTGGTTATCTAGCTTATGCTTATACAATTAAACATCCGGATCAAGTGAAGTCATTAATCCTGGCTGATCCCTGGGGTTTCTCTGAGAAACCAGCAGATTGGGATAAGACAGTGTCAGTCCCGAGATGGATCAGGGTTGTGGCTACCATAATGCAACCATTTAATCCATTATCTGGCTTAAGAATTGCTGGGCCACTAGGTATAGTGCTAATTGTCTCATATTTATTTTTTCAATAGTCTATAGGTGTGATTGAGAGACAAGAAATTTTTGTTCCACTTAGGATGAAGAGTCGCAAGTGAAAATAATTGTCTATTTTTTTGTTCTAGGTCCATCCGTTGTACGGAGATTTCGTCCAGATTTACAGATAAAATTTTCAAGTCTGTTTGACGATGATACGATATTGAACTATATCTATCACTGTAATGCTCAAAAACCAAGGTTTGTTTGTTTGTTTGTTTGTTTGTTTGTTTGTTTGTTTGTTTGTTTGTTTGTTAATGCATTCACTTTCTAATGATACTATGATAGTTAGTTGCTATCAAAATCTTTCACACCAAATGAGTCTTATTGGTATAATTTCCCTTCCTTATAGTGGTGAGACTGCATTCAAGAAATTAGTTTTACCCTATGGCTGGGCAAAGTTCCCAATGATTCACCGAATGCAACATATCAATGCCAAAGTGAAGGTCGCCATGTTGTTTGGGTCACATTCCTGGATAGATAACACAGTCACTGAAGAAATGGAGTCAGAACGTCCAGAACAATTCACTGTTCATACTGTCCATGGGGCAGGACATCATGTCTATGCTGACAAGCCTGTTCGCTTCAATAACATAGTCAAACAAATTTTTGAAACATGCGACGAGGATCGAGTCTAATTATAGTGCTGGACTCTGCAAGTTCACTGATAGGGCCAGACAAATTTGCAAGACTTCACCTGCACTCGCACACACAGGACACATATGGACAAACTGGATGCATTCAAGCATTCATGTATGTACAAGTAGGATTTCTGTACAAGTAGAACTAGACAAATTTGCAAATGTTCTGAATTCATCCAGTTTCATGTGAACATAGTTTAACCCCATTAGTGTGCAAGCTAGACCATATAATATATAATATACTGTGGCAAGACTCTCCTGTTGATGAGTAAAATCATCTGGCATTAGACAGAGTCAAATAATAACTGAATATATTTGAATATAAATTTGGGGATGGAAATCTGTCTCAAATTTTATGTAGTTTTTATATCAGTAGTTTTATATTTATATCTTGATAATTCCAGTTCCAGTCTTTTACCATTCTTGGCAATGATTTTTCTGTCTCATTTATCCTGAAACATGTAAATATTGTAAATAGAATATTTGAATTTTATTTCAGTTACAACGAATCATATATTTATAAGATGACAATGACTTGATCTTCGAACTGTTGTCAACAACGTTATGTGTGAAATATTAGGTCAATTAAGTCACAGTTGCTATTAAATAGGCCTCCTTCAAATAAGGTTTTCAACAATAGTTAGCTAGTGAATGTTATATATTATAATCATATAGATAATTAATCAAATGTTGTATATTTTATACTGTAAGTAGTCAATGTAATAAATAAAGAAGTTGCTGTGGGCTGTCAATTCATCTAGGGCTTTTGTTATATAGTAATTCTTTCTACTGTGTTAGATTAACAATTTACACATGTCAGCGAGATGTGCTCCCAACATGTTGTACAAGTTATACAAGTGAAGGCAGGGCCTCATTCATTTTATCATGTAAAATAAGCCCCCCCCCCCCC